ATTATACACCGATCTGTCTTATTCCAGTAAAAGTTATACATATTCAGCACTTTGGAATATGTTGGCGCGCTGAACATAATAATAATAATAATAATAATAATAATATATCCTATTTCCCAGTGTCACAGGAATGACTGTGAGATAGATTACATTTCTCTATCTCATATTCTCGAGGATAAAAGGCTTGTTTAGGGGATGTAACCTCCAGCACTGGCTGTATCTCATGTCTCCTGCAGAATATACATCACTAAGATGTGGAACATTGATCACAAGAAACATTTATCCAGAGCAGGATTTATAGTGTCTTCATCACTGTGTTAGACCTTAAATAAACAATCTGGTGACTGCTATCTAATTCCTCGTGTCTCTTGTATTCTTTTCCCAAGTAACTGTTTTTTCAGCTTAGTATTTAGAACAATTTGCACTGTATGAATAGGTAAAGAGATTCGAAGCAATTGCATAGTTTGTGTTAATATGGCGTTATTAGATATGTGTTTATAAATTCATTAGCAAAACTAGGGTTGATAAGACATTTACTAACTGAGCTCTGTCTACTGACTGTATTCAAAGTATTAAATGAGAAAGACCTGTTAGAATGTAAAACATAACAAACATGTATATATCTCCGAGACATTAGAATTTTAGATCTAAACAAATTGTATATTTTTTTTTATTATTATTTATTATTATATTTTTGTACCCCACCTCCTATAGACCGTAAGCACGTTTGAGCAGGGTCCTCTTCAACCTATCGTTCCTGTAAGTGTTCTTGTAATTGTCCTATTTATAGTTATATCCTCCCTTTAATAATATTTTAAAGCGCTACGGAATCTGTTGGCGCTATATAAATGGCGATAATAATAATAATATATATTTTGTCATACTTTAGCATTAGATTTTCAATTCCTGTTTGTAGGAATTAGATAAAATTGCAAGATTATTTTTTTTAATACTTTGAAATGTATCCGGTAATGTTACAATATAGAGGAAAATGTGTGATTGGGAACACAAGACACAGAGGAAGGGGTGCAGAAAACTAGTACCTTTAATGAATAGGGTGGTCTCAGACAACATGTAAACCAATTGGCAGGAGCTCAGCGGCCAGTGGAATGATCCAAAAAATAATTTTAAAGATGTTTTACAGTTTTAAATTTGAATAGATTTGCATTAAATTTGTTAAAGGAGAATTATACTAATTTTCCAATATTTCAAATATCAGATTATAGCCTCTGTGTCTATTGTTTTGTAATTATTATGGAAAAAAATACCTCTTTTCAGCCCATCTCCTAGTTTACCCATGTTTAATGGGGGCAGCCATCTTTATATCCTCTTTGGTCAAGAGCAAAGATTATCCATCCCTAAACCATACAGGTATCCAGAGCTAGCGTGTTCATGAATCTTGGTATCAAGTGTCTTATCCTGACGTAATCGGTCATACTTTTCCATTTGAGCCTCCATGAAGGATTGCTGGTCATTTTTTGTATTGTGCAATAACTATGTGCAATGCATGGCTGCTTTTGTTCTTGTCAATGTAAGCATGGCCCTGTGTTACTGTTATTATGATATCATAGCTGTAAGTATATGTTTCTACAGTGCGTGTATATTTGTCAGTTTGAGTAGAATTGGGGCATTTGTGTGTACACATTAAGATATTGTTGGGCCTGGTGTTTCTCAGTCAGTGTTGTCCTGTTAATTTGGCGTTAGAGGTGTCCCCTTTTATCTCCTCCTCAGTGTGGGGAGCTGTGAGTGAGACAGAATGTGAGGCCCAATTTCTCTGTATACCCATACCGCCTGGCTGCTATTGAAGTAGAAATATGATTGAGGTGAATGCATTAGATATATTTTATGTAATTGATAAAAGTTATAGAACAATACATTCATTCATTGTTTTTCCTTAGGGGGAGAAATACCATATATTTTATAAAAAAAATTCTACAGATCAGAAAGGTTATTATTCAAAAGTAACGAATTGTGCTACATCAAAGTTAAAACTCACATTCGGATTTTATATTATCAGTGTATCCCGTGTCTAGGGTTGGGTTATATATTTTTTAATTACAGAAAGGTGGGAGTCCAATTAATTTCACATCCCATAAACATTATTCTGTCTTGTTTAATTATATATGTTCAAGGACAGAAAACATGTGAAGGCTGGTGCAGCTGTCTTGAGCTGGATCACAGAGTGTTTTTTGTATTGCTAAGTTGTTCAGGCCGGTTCTTAGGAGAACAGAGAAAATATATTTATGGTCCGTTTAGGGATGTGTGTTACAGACAAATGTCATTGCTGTCACAAGATTACCAATGAATATGGAAACGATAAATAGAACCGGTGGATAAATTAATGCAGCCTAGGTTATATTAGAATAAATTGTACAGTCAGCTCTTAGAAAAGAGAACTATCTAACTCTATATTATATGCACTGGTAGAATAAGGACCACTCTAGGCTATGATTAGGTGACTGATCTACAGGTGATTTAGTGGAGTGGATATTGGTACCCAAGAAGATGGGAACTGTTACTTTCAGGAATCTCAAACTCTGCCCCATCCTACCCCCACCCTGCCTTCCATCCCCGGGACTGCAAATGCCCTAAAACTTCCAGTCTTTGAATGCAAAGGATGACCAGAGAATCATGGGGGACAAAGTTTGAGATTCCGAGTGTATTGCATGTCCACTGCCCCTGAGGGTTGGAGGGAGACGCTGTGTTATATGCTCTGTATTGGGACATACCCTCACGCACAGTTGGCAGTGTTGGGGAGCTCTCACATGCACCCCCCATCCTGAGTTTCTATAATGATACCTGCTATTTTTGACTTTGAACGTAAATCCTTCATAGGTCATTTTAGTGACTCTTACTTTATATTTTACTTTATAACTTGATTATGTCAGTTTTATGTTGATTATTCTCGTACTAAATTGTTTATGTAGAGACACAAATCTATTTCATTTGAATCAGGTAATGGAAAGTCTCTAATTATGCCCAGACCCTGTAAAATAATAAAAATAAAAAAGCCGTTTTCACTCACCTTTTATCCAGTGCTTTGCAGTCTTTCTCAACCAGCCATTCCTCTTCGTCTGGGACTAATCCAATGCTTCTCAGAGAAAGCATGCGCAGGAATTGTAGTACTTAGCCAAGTGGATGCTTTGTATAGAGAAGTATTGGATCCATAGGTTACTCTGTGTGTATTTTGGCTATAAGCTTTTTGGGGGAATTCTCCTGTATGTCTAAAGATATTACACTATCTATTATTTAAGAACGCTGTGTCTGTCGACTGAACAGGTATGTGTAGGGGTACACTGTACGTAGGCCGTCCAGTGGTATTGAATTTATAGGGGTACACTGTACAGAGAGAATCTATGGTATCGAATTTATAGGGGTACACTGTACATAGACAATCTAGTGGTATCGAATTTATAGGGGTACACTGTATATAGCGAATCTAGAGGTATTGGATGTATAGGGGTACACTGTAAATAGAGAATCTAGGGGTATTGAATTTATAGGGGCACACTATATATAGAGAATCTAGGGGTATTGAATTTATAGGGGCACACTGTATATAGCGAATCTAGTGGTATTGAATTTATAGGGGTACACTGTACATAGAGAATCTTCTAGTGGTATATTATTAATAGGGGTATACTGTATATAATGTGGTACTGAATTTATAGGGGCACACTGTATATAGAGCACACCGTGGTATTGTACTTATAGTGGTACTCTGTATATAATGCACCTAATGCCATTGTATTAATAGGGGAACACTGTATATAATGCACCTAGTGACATTGTATTAATAGGGGTACACTGTATATAATGCACCTAGTGACATTGTATTAATAGGGGTACACTGTATATAATGCACCCAGTGGTATTCAATATATAGGGGTACACTGTATATAATGCACCCAGTGGTATTTAATATATAGGGGTACACTGTATATAATGCACCCAGTGGTATTCAATATATAGGGGTACACTGTATATAATGCACCCAGTGGTATTCAATATATAGGGGTACACTGTATATAATGCACCCAGTGGTTTTCAATATATAGGGGTACACTGTATATAATGCACCCAGTGGTATTCAATATAATGAGGTACACTGTATATAATGCACCCAGTGGTATTCAATATATAGGGGTACACTGTATATAATGCGCCCAGTGGTATTCAATATATAGGGGTACACTGTATATAATGCACCCAGTGGTATTCAATATATAGGGGTACACTGTATATAATGCACCCAGTGGTATTCAATATAATGGGGTACACTGTATATAATGCACCCAGTGGTATTCAATATATAGGGGTACACTGTATATAATGCGCCCAGTGGTATTCAATATATAGGGGTACACTGTATATAATGCACCCAGCGGTATTCAATATATAGGGGTACACTGTATATAATGCACCCAGCGGTATTCAATATATAGGGGTACACTGTATATAATGCACCCAGCGGTATTCAATATATAGGGGTACACTGTATATAATGCATCCAGCGGTATTCAATATATAGGGGTACACTGTATATAATGCACCCAGCGGTATTCAATATATAGGGGTACACTGTATATAATGCATCCAGCGGTATTCAATATATAGGGGTACACTGTATATAATGCACCCAGCGTATTCAATATATAGGGGTACACTGTATATAATGCATCCAGCGGTATTCAATATATAGGGGTACACTGTATATAATGCACCCAGCGGTATTCAATATATAGGGGTACACTGTATATAATGCATCCAGCGGTATTCAATATATAGGGGTACACTGTATATAATGCATCCAGCGGTATTCAATATATAGGGGTACACTGTATATAATGCACCCAGCGTTATTCAATATATAGGGGTACACTGTATATAATGCACCCAGTGGTATTCAATATATAGGGTTACACTGTGAGTTTTACGTAGGGCGAATTCTTTCTTTTTCCCTTCTACAGGTGTGGTGTGTGCTGTGAGCTGGTTTTACTCTTATGAAAGTTGAATGCTGGGTCAGGGGCTCTCCTGTAACCTCAGAAAGGAATTCCAGATGGTTATTTAGGACCCAACCAGTCTCAGTTCATCAATTTCATGAAGCTGAGAATCAGCTCTGGTTATAGCTCTGACTGTGGCATTAATGCAGAACAAATTGAGACATATCCTCTATGTAATTAGTTCCAGAAAGGAAAAGATTTATGATAAAATAATAGAGTATCCTACAAATAACCACTTCATTTTTTGGCCTAAGTTTAAGGTGAGAATAGAATATGATCTATTTACTTTAACTGTGCAAGACACACACTTCGGGGGATTAAAATAAACCAAGAAATTCACAGATATTTGTCATGTTTTCCCTGCTCTGCCGTATTAAAGTAGAATCATATAAGTAAAAATACATCACGCCAATCATTGTACCGCACACTGAAATCAACATTTACAAAAATTAATTATATTAATAAATACATTAAATAAACATTAATAAAATATGTTACATGAATATTATATATATATACAGGCAATGTCTCTAGAACCCCAAGATGGCATGATTTTCTCATAACCCACTTCACTGTATTGTATCGTTTATATTACATGCTATTTTGAGTTAAGGCAGTGTAGGGGTTAAAGGAATACTCTAATCACCATAACCACTACAGCACAATGTAGTGGTTATGGTGTCAAATCATTTTGAATGGTTTGATTTCATATCTGGATTCCGTCTGACGCTGCTCCTCACTACCATCGCTCGACAGCCAAAAGGTTCTAAGCAGGTACTTCCGTTAGCTCTCCTGAGCTTAGCCCTGCAGAGCAGTTTAATTTCTTACAACAGGGGTCGCCAGGACACTCCTTCCACCATAGCCGGGTGTAGATCGCTGTAGTGGTTGTGGTGCTTCAAGTGTTCCTTTAAAAACAGGTGCTACTTGAGAGTGTAACTCCCACCAATCTTGGCCATCCCCAGACATGTATGTCCGGATTCTGAGTCAGCAGAAAGCACAGAGGGGACCTTTGCGTTACTCCCTGTTCATTCTGAGAAATGCGGGCACAGGTGGTGTTACTATCTGCACAGAAAGCAAATAACCCAAAACTATGGGGTCGAAACACTAATCAGAAATTTAGAGTAATGAGAAGATTTGTGCATTGGGTTGCAACCAAATACTGATTCATGTGAATTTTTGGGGGACTGGTAATTCAGCCAAATTCTGTAACATGTCTTTTGTGTGCATGAGGGCGGCTTGCTTGGCTAAAGGATGATTCTGATGGAATGGATACTAAATAGCCGCTGCTAGCTGTGGTTGATGAGTGCGTGTTTGGGGACTGCAGCAGCTTACTCCTGTGCTTCTTCTCCTCCCCCCACCTTTCCCCTGCTGCTTGTGCGGCCACCTCTTCCTTCCTCCTGCTCTTTCTAAATAAGCTTGGAGGAAGTTACATGCTCCTACTTCCTGCCAGCAACCGATATTACAGAGGCCCGCTCATACTCTCTAAGTGCATGGTCCACCCAATAGGCGTTCCAGCATACAGGCTCCGGTGCAGCCACATCGCCGGCACCAGCAGTAGTTCTGCCGCTGATGAAAGAGGTAAATTATGTTTAAACAGACTGACATATAGCTCAGATTCTATATTTTGGTTTTTGTTCAGAAATTGCACAATTGCCTTCGTCCTTAGGGGTTGCGGCTTAGTGAATAACCAAGAAAAAGTAAGTTCTAATGAATTGGAAAAACAATACATAAACTGAAACTATCATTAGACACACTAGTGATATCTGTGACCAAGGCTATACCAGTCTGAATTTTGCGAAAATTTGTCCACTAGCCAGGGCCTTTCCCAATGTAAATACGTCCCCGGATTTCAGAAGGCAATGTAAAGTAATTTTTCATTTATGGCTAATGATGTGATTGCTGATTGAGACCTTATCTGTCATTTTTAGGTGACTTCACGACCTGCAGGGAGCGATTTACTTAGTTTAACCAGTTATTTCGAACTAGAAAAAAAAATACATTTTACACACACTACAAACACGCCCGCTGTAGTTTAAACACACATTTATTTGATTTAATTGCTTTGAAGCCATGTAATGCTCTTTACATTAATCAAATACTCCAAGCTGTGAGAGATAACAGTACAAAAATTAGGGAGAGGGGGGAATGGGTCTTCGATAGGAAATGGCCTTTCAGTAATGCAGTAGAAGGAAATTTGGACTTGCTATCAGTAGCATTTATATAATGCCAACATATTCTGCAGCGCTTTGAAATTATAGAAAGGGGATTACGTTTGTTTGGAGAGGGGCCCTCTTCACTTATTGTTAAACGTGTTTTGCTAAAACAATTGAATGAATTATTTGTCTTGGTTTATCCATCGAAGAGCCCTGCAAATCATTGTAATTGTTATTTAAAGGCCCTACTTGCTATCTATGAGAATTTAAGGTTGGCGGATATATATCGTTATTTGTCTTGTCCAGTGACACGTACTGGTACGGTGGTCTGATTCAAACCTCGGCTACCTAGTTATAAGGTAACCATGTTACTATTTTGACTAAGAATTAAAGGTTTGTGATCCAAGACACACCAACAGTCTGGGATTTGGGTATTTCCCAATTATGTGGTTATACTGACAAAAGCTGTGAAGGGCTGGGTTGGAAAACAATGGGTTAGATCAGTGGTTCTTAACCCAGTCCTCAAGTACCCCCTAACAGTCCAAGATTCGGGATTAGTTGTGTCTAAGGTGTTTTTAGAAAAAAGGGAAAAAAACACTTTAGACACAACAGGGAATTCCCTAAATACTGGACTGGTAGGGGGTACTTGAGTACTGGGTTTGGAACCCCTGGGTTATATGGTTATTTAAAAGGACACTGTAGGCACATTAACTATTATAGTGCCTGGAGTCTCCTGGCTCTGTCCATTCAGTCAGTGTGAAAGCATTCTGGAGCAGTAGCCCGGCCTTGTTGGAGGTGTGGCTAATGCAGCTTTTACACACTTCCTTCTTCCCATACCGATTCATACCTGGAATGAGTTCTGTGATAGGCTATAAGTGGTCAGCTGACACTCTCATCCAATCACAGCCATCCATTGCTGCTCGGGTATATGCATGACAAGAAAGTCAGACAATATGATAATTAATGCAAGGTAGAAGGTAATCGTGAATGGCTGAGTGGTATTATAGAAACATAGAAACAGAGAAACATAGAATGTGACTCAGATAAGAACCATTCGGCCCATCTAGTCTGCCCAATTTTCTAAATACTTTCATTAGTCCCTGGCCTTATCTTATAGTTAGGATAGCCTTATGCCTATCCCACGCATGCTTAAACTCTTTTACTGTGTTAACCTCTACCACTTCAGCTGGAAGGCTATTCCATGCATCCACTACCTTCTCAGTAAAGTAATACTTCCTGATATTATTTTTAAACCTTTGTCCCTCTAATTTAAGACTATGTTCTCTTGTTGTGGTAGTTTTTCTTATTTTCAATATAGTCTCCTCCTTTACTGTGTTGATTCCCTTTATATATTTAAATGTTTCTATCATATCCCCCCTGTCTCGTCTTTCCTCCAAGCTATACATGTTAAGATCCTTTAACCTTTCCTGGTAAGTTTTATCCCGCAATCCATGAACCAGTTTAGTAGCCCTTCTCTGAACCCTCTCTAAGGTATCAATATCCTTCTGAAGATACGGTCTCCAGTACTGTGTACAATACTCCAAGTGAGGTCTCACCAGTGTTCTGTACAATGGCATGAGCACTTCCCTCTTTCTACTGCTAATACCTCTCCCTATACAACCAAGCATTCTGCTAGCATTTCCTGCTGCTTTATTACATTGTCTGCCTACCTTTTAAGTCTTCTGAAATAATCACCCCTAAATCCCTTTCCTCAATTGCTGAGGTTAGGACTCTATAAAATATTCTGTACTCTGCCCTTGGGTTTTTACATCCAAGATGCATTATCCACATTAAATGTCAGTTGCCACAATTCTGACCATTTTTCTAGTTTACCTATAATAAGACATTGTACAGTATAGAAATAGAGTGAGACTGAAGGTTTGGTGAGATGGGGCTTTGTACAGAGATATGTCCACTTATATTAAAATAAAAAAATAAAATAAAACATAAAAAAGGATGAAAAGTATGAGGAAAACAGTGCCCCTAAGTAAAACATGTGAGTGTAAACAGCCTAGTATACATTGGTCTTACTCAAACTCAGACTCAAATAGGCAGACACCTGAAATGATGGAGCAGGGCAATGAACACTTTGTAATTAAATAACACGCCTTGTATAACTATGAAAATTCCTGTGTTCGAATGTTAATGTAACATGAGTGTTATGTCAATCCTAACCGATGGACAAGGTTGAAAATAGAGGCTTCTGTTGATTAATACATGTGTAGGACAACAGATAACGTAACTGTTCTAATATCGGACTGATGTGCCCAACAATGATAGATACCCCTAACCAACAGTTGTGACAACTTTCATTACAACTGGTGAGCAAAGTGGAATTAAACATTGCACCCTAGTGTGTGGTTTCTTCCCCTTCTGAACCAGGGCTGTGTCTTATGTGCAAAACCATGTGGCAAAAAATTAAGCTGAAGACATAAAGAGAAAGTAAATGAGAAAATAAAAGTGACCAACTGTTCCTGTGTGAGGTTCCAGGAGTCTCAGGGCATTGAGAAAAACAGGCGCCTCTGAAATGGAGGAAAGTGTGTGCACAGTCCCGTCATGCAATGAGTGTCCTAGAGGTTCCCCGGGTGTATTCCACTCCTACTTCCTGCATTTGTCATGAGATAAATCCAAGGAATCTGCACCACTGAAGTGTAAACCTTGTAAGGTGTTGATAGAAGGTAAGAGATGCCAAGTATTATAACCGCTTCAATGAGATGAAGAGGTTACAGTGCCTACAGTTTCGCTTTATTTGTGTACAATTATTCTGCCTGGCCACTACTAGTGCAGCTTTTACGGTCTCGTGAAAGTCATAGAATTACTAGATTCGATGTAAATATATAACCATGTGCAATTAAAAATGTTACAATATTTAAAAGTGTGTTCTTTTACAATTTCATCTTTTGTTGGTTAAAGAAAAGTTGTGCAGTCACAAATTAACTTAATGAAGAGAATTTCATATATTTGTTTCCTACTTCCAAAACAAACTTTTACTTTAAGCACCAGTTTGTTCATATTTAAACGTGAATTTAAAGTGAATATTTTTGTACTACATTGTAACTGTCCATCAAATAAGGAATTAAA